ACATTCAGCCAGCTTTAAAAAATTTTTTCAGTTATTTCCCTGTCTTCCTGTCGTGTATTCAGAAGAAGCAGCTAGAACGTTTCTCCATGAACTTGTGAGATTCACAGGACTGTCTCGCTCTAAGTCCTGGCAGTAGACTTACTTAGCGGAGCAGTGACTTGACTTAGACAGTGCAGACAGGTGTTGTGGGCATTGCCACGGGTGTTGCAATTCTTCCTGCATCTGCTTTTCAGGAACTACATGAATGACAGCCTTCGCACAGACGTTTTTGTGAGGTTCCAGCCTGAGAGCATCGCCTGTGCCTGCATCTATCTTGCTGCCCGGACGCTGGAGGTCAGTGCTGGGCCACCCCAGGGGATTCACCGACCCCAGTGAACTTCTACGTACTGTGCTTCAAATTATGCTCACTGGAGCCAGTAAAAAGCCTACTTGCTGGTGACCGGCAGGCTTGTTTTTATTGCCCTGAGAATCTTGTCGGCAATGAAGAAAAGTATAACGGTGATTACTTTTGTGTTTACAGATCCCTTTGCCCAATCGTCCCCATTGGTTTCTTTTGTTTGGAGCAACTGAAGAAGAAATTAAAGAAATCTGCCTAAAAATTCTGCAGCTATATACTCGGAAAAAGGTTCTGTGTCTTTTCACGTCACGTGTGCCTCTTTGTTTGACTGGAAGCATCTGGTCTGAATCCTGCACTCTGGCTTTTCTAGGTTGACCTGACCCACCTGGAAGGTGCAGTGGAGAAGCGCAGGTACGCCCTCGACGAGGCAAAGGCACAAGCCAAGGGCCTGTTGCCCGGCGGCACCCAGGTGCTGGACAGCGCGTCGCGGTTCTCACCTGCCCCCAAGCCGGGTGAGCGTCAGGGCGCGCGTGTGCTCCTCTCAGGGGTGGCCCTCTCCTCCAGATTTCTCTTAGAATCACGTCTGCAGCTAGTCTGAGCACTCTGGGGGGCTCCTAGGAAGTCTGTTTCTCTGTTTTCATTAGGAATGGGGTATGGACAGGCTCCTGAAATGGCTGTTTACCCAGCCTAGCCAAATAGCTTGTCTTTGATGAAAATCTCATAAATCTGGAGCAGTAGATCATGTTGTCATATCCTAGAGTTAAGTGTGACGCCCTTACCGGTCCCAGAGGAGCGGGACGGGTGACCTTCCTGCGTCTGGTGGTTCCAAGCCCGGCGGGGAGCAGGGAGTCATGGTCATCAGCGGCAGTCCTGCGGGAGAGGCCCCACCTTGCTTGGCTGACCCGTTTCTCAGCAGAACAGCTGTCGGGTTGTAACTTCTCATACTTGATTCTAGCGGAATCCCCCAAGGAAGGCCAAGGAGACAAGCCTTCCCCACTCTCTGTGAAGAACGCCCGGAGAAAAGTGGAGGGCGTGAAGAGAGCCAAGGCCGACAGCCCGGTGAACGGGTGAGTGTCCGCGTGCCCCGACGGGCCGCTGGGGTTGGCTGCAAAGACGTGGGGTCTGAAACTCTGCTCTCCGCCCTGTTCTCAGCTTGCCGAGGGGGCGAGGGGGTCGGAGTCGGAGTGGGAGTCACGAGCAGAGTTACTCCCGGTCCCCGTCGCCATCCGCATCTCCTAAGAGAAGGTGTGTGCCACTCGGGGTGCTTGGGGCTGCACCTGGCAGGGTGGGTATCTTCCCTGGGAGGTGGTGTGGCCTGTCTTCAGGACAGTTGCTCCTGACCCCAGAGGTGGTCGGGATGGGCGGTCACCCACCCAGTGGTCTCCTTCACAGGAAAAGCGACAGCGGCTCTACATCTGGCGGGTCCAAGTCACAGAGCCGCTCACGGAGCCGGAGTGACTCCCCACCCAGACAGGCCCATCGGAGCGCTCCCTACAAAGGCTCCAAGGTAAGGAGCTACCGGAGGTCCAAGGACTGCAAGTACTCTGCCCAGAAGCCACACAAGTCTCGGAGCCGGAGCTCCTCCCGCTCTCGGAGCCGCTCACGGGAACGGGCGGATAATTCTGGAAAATACAAGAAGAAAAGTCATTACTGTAGAGACCAGCGACGGGAGCGTTCTCGCTCTTACGAGCGAGCGGGCCATCGCTACGAGCGGGACCACCCCGGGCACAGCAGGCACCGGAGGTGAGGGCAGGCTCCCTGAAGGTCTGCCCTTCGGCCCTCGGCATGCTCACCTCGGCCACTGGCCCTGGGGCGTGACTCTTTCTGGAAATGGTTGTTGACTCGGGACTGTGTGATGAATTTGGAGATGGAATGGAGAAGCCAGCAAGCCGCTCTTTAGTGTGGCCCGGGCCCAGCTCACCCCGCCCGCCTCAGCAGCAGCCCTGCTGGTTGCAAAGGTGGGGTGTGCACGTCCCAGTGGCGTGGCTTGGTGCTACGAAGGTTGTCTCTTCACTTCCATACCGATACTCAATTACGTTAAACCAAGAAAATGACTTTTCGAACCTTTGCCTATATTAGGTTGTACTTATGTACGTATTTTGCAATGTTTCACTATGAGAAAGTGGCCTTAACAGCCCCTCACTCTGTCCACGTTGTAAATAAACATGTTTAATACAAGTTAAAGCTATATATGAAAACTCAGAACTTGAATTCTGTCAGCTTAAAACTTGTGTAGAGAATTCTGATTTTTAAAATGTGAAGGTATTTAGATCTGTGTTGAAAGTCGTATATTTTTATCTGTGCAATGCTGAGTGCAGGCCACCAGCTCCTAAATAGAGAAGTTTCCTATATATGCATTTTATGTGGTTAAATAAACACAAGTCTCTCTACTCAGGATATTTGGAACGTTAAAGGATTTGTGGTTTGTCAGCGTGCTTGCTTGCTCCCGTGCACAGCTGGCAGTACCGGTTCTAGTGGTACGTCTGTGCTGCCGTCTCTCATCTCATTAAAGCGTTGGGTTTTGTATTGAGTTTTGTGCACCTGCTCTTCTGTGAGGGTTTGTGAGGAGTCTGAGCTGTCTGCTGCTGGTGGGGTAGAGGGAGGGTCTGAAAAGGACATAATGGTCTGGAGTCCCCTTGTGCCTGAGGGACACTGGTTTGTAATGCGCTTTTGTCAGGTTTTGTCAGGCTGGCGGTAGCCAGGGACAAGGACCCCAGAGGAGCATCACCCCAGTGGGGTCCTCTGTCAGAGTGGGTGGCGGGCGAGGCGACAGGTTGGTGGTGAAGGTGAGCAGGATGGGCGTCGGGCCTGTCTCTGGGTGCTGCGTGTGCTCTGTGCGGATTGAAGGCTGTTGGGCCTGTCCTGTGCCCCGTGTTGGCTCTCCCCAGACCAGCACTGCTGTGCGGGTGGGAGGCGTGGCCTTCCTGGAGCCAGTGGGCCTGGAGAAAGGTGCTTGAAGTCAGAACAGCCAAGAAGGTGTGAAAGCGGCAGGGTCGGCGCCCAGGGTGCAGGTGGCTCACTCTTATGATCAAACCACAAAAGCCTGGGGAGGCCGTGCAGCTGGAGGGAGGGGTGGGCTCCAGGACGTGTTCAGAGACCTTCCGACCTGGGAACTGGAAGCAGTCCCTTGGGCAGAAGGGTGTCCTCTGGTGACTCAGTTACGGAGCTGGGCCGGGAGCTGGGCGTCCACTCCCTGCTTAGCCAGGTTGGGGCCTGGGGGTGTCCAGGCCTGGCCATTTCCTGCCTAAGACTCACTGGAAGACCCTCCTACAGGGCAAGCCTCCCAGTAGCGCCAATGAGACTCCCCACATCCCAGTGCCAGCAGGAGCCCCCGCACGTCCATTCTTGAGATCCTGCCATCCTAGCCAACCTCAGCGAGGACAACGGAGCCTTTCTGGCCTAGATGGGTGAAGTGGTGCCCTCGGAGCCCCCTACCCTGAGGAGCAACGCGGGGTCTTAGCCAAACACCATGCTCCACGGAGGCTGCTTTTGGTTTTCGGACAAAAACTTCCCATGGGCACAGGATGGGAGCTTGTTTGCTTTGAGGAAGGAAAAAACACTCCACCTATGCAAGAACAGTCGTACTATCCATCCCGCGTTAGACGCGGGGCCTCCTCCGCTTATCCAGACTGGCAGAGAGAGGAGGCTGCAAGCCAAAGGGATGGGGCGGCGGGTCCAAGACCCCCGAGTCCTTCCTGACGGCGCCCCGGCTCTCCCCCCAACGCCCGGCACGGCACTCCTGGCGTCCGGGCTGCAGAAGCCCGGGCCGAGCCGCCGTCACCTGTCTGCCAGCTTCCCTCCCATCCTCGGGAGGAGGGCTCGGGGGTGGAGGCCACGCACCGCAGACCCAGCACCTCCGGTTCTTCCCCTCCGGCCCCAGCAGCCGCAGTATCTCAGGCCACTTCCGTCGCCCCCGCAAACCCTATTTCCGTCGACGGGATAACGTCCTTTCCGCAGTCCCGAAACGCCACTTCCGGCCTCCCGGGACAACGGGCCCCTGACCCATCTGGGGGGCGACGGGAGTTTGGGCCACGCAGGCGCAGAGGGGCCCCCGGGGTTGTGGGAAATGTAGTTTTCTAGCCTCCGCAAGGGACAGGCGGAGCCGGCGAGCCGTGGGAGGAGCTGGGGCGGGGCGCGGGGGGCGGCTCCTCCGGCCGGAAACCGTTGCTTTCTGGGCCGGGTGGGACCTGCACCGACGCGGAGCGGGGCGCCGTGGGGCGCTAGGGGGCGCTGGCTGTAGGAACCAGCGGGCGGCCCACGCGGGCTGGGGGCCAGTTTAGGTACGGACCGGAAGTGCCTTAGCGCGGCGGCGGAATGGCCAGCTGAGACTATCGGTTGCGTCTGGGAAGGGTCGGCGTGAGGCCGCGCCCTGCGGGCTCCAGGGACGGCGGAGGCGACCGCGGCCGGCTGGGGCACGGGGCCTAAGACCCGAGCGTCGACACCACCCGCGCGGTGGGCGCCTCGGGGTAAAACTAGGTTCAGGGAGAGTCAATACCTGCCCAGAGTCGCGCAGCTGGGGAGCGGCGGAGGGTTTGAGGGAGGGAGCCGTGCTCGAAGCAGCGTTCTCGTGGTGGGATAGGGTGGTGAGGGAGACGGGGTGCGCGAATCAGGGCGGGACCGGAGTCCCCGGAGTGACCTAGGCGTGCACCTGTGTTCCAGCTCCGCTGAGTGCCTGGGGCCGCCGCCAAGCACAGACCATGTTCATGGTGCGCCTGACTTCCCAGCTGCTCAGGGCTGTTCCCCGGGCAGGTGAGAGGCCCCGTGGGGGCAGATGGGCGGGAGGCGCACCTGGGTTAGGAATGTGGGGTCAGCAGCTCAGTACCCCCCGCTGCTGTGCCTCACCAGCTGGAGGCGGGGCCCGGCCACAAACTACCTCGTAAACGTCCGGATTTCACAGATGGGAAGTCTGGGCCTGAGAATGTCAGCAGGGCTTCAGGAGGTTCTGCTCCCCAGGCCCGGTGGCCTTGCGTAGGTCGTGTAGCCCCACGAGCGGTAACTAACAGTGCCATCTTGTCTCCTGCAGGTTGCAGTGGGCCTTGGCTTGTCTGCGGGGTGTTGGGCAGGCATGCCTGCAGGCCTCGTTACAGCATGCAGCCAATAGGCCCAAGTGGGGTTGCCTCCCTCCCTGACCGGCGGGTCCACATGGAGCTTGAGGAGATGCTGGTCCCCAGGAAGATGTCTGTCAGCCCCCTGGAGAGCTGGCTGACCGTTCGCTACCTCCTGCCCAGACTGGACGCTGGGGCCCCAGGGACTGTGTCTCCAGCCCAAGTCTATGAGTGTCCGCCCAGCCAGGTGGGGGAAGGGGTCGAGCAGGGGGGTAAGGAGGTCTGGGATGCACCCCAGATACAGTGCAAAAACGTGCTCAAGATCCGCCGGCGGAAGATGAATCATCACAAGTACCGCAAGCTGGTCAAGAGGACCCGGTTCCTGCGGCGGAAAGTCAAGGAGGGACGCCTGAAACGGAAGCAGGTGAGCGTGGGCCCTCGGTCCAGAGCTGGGCAGGGTGGTTGAGGTGCGTGGCTGTGCCGCAGACCTGTTGGTGGTCCCTCCCTCTGCCCTCGCAGATGAGGTTCGAGAGAGACCTGAGGCGCATCTGGCTGAAGGCGGGCCTGAAGGAAGCCCCCGCAGGCTGGCAGACCCCCAAGATCTACCTGAAGGGCAAATGAGTCTCGTGTGTCCGTCCCCCAGCCCTGTTACTGCTGATGACCCATTGTAATAAATATTCGGAGAACTTAGCCATCCTTGCTGTCCTGGACCCTCTTCTGCCTGGGGTGAGCTGTCTGGGGGTTGAGGCTGGCGCCAGCGTCTGCTTTTACAAGAGAGACAAGGGCCCTGGCTGGCAGATTGGTGGTCCCTTCCCCGAGCTGGCCCTTGTCCTGGTGCCAGGGCTGCAGGAGTGACAGCCTGGCTGTTCACGAACTGGTGCTGTGGGGACAGCTGAGAAGAGTCCCAGCCCTGCCCCAGAGGAGCACGCAGATGGGAACTGTGCCAAGGGGACCAGCTTGGAGGTTAGGGAGTGCCCCGATGGAGGTGGTGATGTGATTAGGGTACACGGTTGACTCTGTGCAGTCGAAAAACCCGAGCAGAGCTCATAGTCAGCGCTCCTTCTCTGTGGTGCCAGGTTCAACCAACTGTGCATCGTGTGGTGCTGTGAGATCTATTTACTGGGAAAAAAAACATGCGTGTAGCTGGACCCACACAGTTGAGGGGGCAGAGAGGGCCTCACTGGGGAGACGGGGAGGGGAAGCAGGAAAGGACCTCAGAGATGATGGGTGGGGTCTTTCAGGCCCTGCTCCCTGGGCCTCAAGTGCAGTCTCCTGCTCAGCTGCAGCTGGGGACCCGTGGCCTGCTGTGGGCTCCTTGGCCTCTGCCACTTTCTGGGGCCCTGAAGAGGGGTGGCGAAGGGCTCACCAGGAAGTGATGGCCCACTCTGGAAGGTTCAGGGTTGGGCCGGCTGAAGAAGGGGTGCCGTTTATGGAGCTGGGGAAGCCTAGAGTCTTAGTGTGAGTTAGTGGTCCTCAGAAATTCCAGGTTTCTCCTGCGTGGAGGGGAACGTGTTATCGCTAATAGTGGGGGGCTCCTGGGCTTCTGTATCCAGGCTTGGGGGGCTGAACTGCAGGCGGAGGAGCCTGGTCAGAGTCCGTGAGTGCCAAGTCCGGCCCCAGCTCCACCAGGCCTCCCAGCAGGGCCTTGGCCTGCCAGTGACGCCCTTGGCTGACGCCCACGGCCGCTGAGCAGCTGCTCCCGGTGTTTCTTCCAGCCCCCGTGCGGGAGCTGCCCCGTGGCTCACCCCACCCCTCCCTGGCTGAGTCTGGAGACAAAGCTCAGCTGGAGCCACGAGTGCTGGGGATACAACTGGCCGACCTGTGCAGGGGGGTGCAGACCCAGACGCCTGGAGGCTGCCAACTGGCAGAGCGCCACAGGGCCCTGGCACCCGGGTCACCTGCTCCAGCCTCCTCCACCGTGAGGTCGGTGCCAGCTGGGGCGCTCCCAGAAGGCAGGCTGCCCAGTGGTTCCAAGCCACGCGGCCTCACCATTCCTTCACAACAGTGGTCCTTAAGTGGGCATTCGGCCACATCTGGAGGCAGTTTTGGTTGTCACAGTGGGGGTCACAGTTGGTGGAGGCCGGGGATGCTGTGAAATGCCCTACAGTGCACAGGGCAGCCCCTGCCCGAGAGCAGGTAGCCCCGGACATCAGTGGTACCATGGTTGAGGCCCCTGTTCCTGAGGTCACCGATCCTGTCGGGTCAGCTCCTGGGCTGGCCCAGCCCTGCTCTGTCTCCCCAGTCCCTGTCCCTTCCCCTGCCTTGCAGGCCCTGCACCTTGGCAGCCCTCTCCCTGCCCCAGCTCGTGTGTGCAGACCTCATCCTGCCTGTGGCTTGGGTGCCCTGGGCCCCAAGCACGATCTCAGGAGGTGGTTTGGGGGTTTTATTTTTACTCTAGCTCCCCCCGGACCACCAGAGGCTGCTCCCCCACTCCCGACGGGGCCTCCACCCTCCCCCAGCTCCTCCCCGCGGCTCCCGTTCTAGCCCTGGGCACCCCCTGAGGCAGGGCGCAGAGGGAGGGCCCGTGCTGTGTGATGTGGTTCTGGCCTGTGGTCTGTGCTTAGCCCATAGCAGTGCCTAGGGCTTGGGTTCAGCCAGAGGAGGGCCCTAGCGAGGGCTCGAGGTGATGGGGGTGGTCTTGGGCACTGACTGGCGATCTGCCTTTTGGACCCAGTGTGGAGGCGCCTCAGTGAGCTCAGCCGCCGCCCCTTGTCCCTGTGCTCCTCCATGCCTGGGGCACGGCCAGTGTCCTCTGGCCTGGGCGTTCCTGCCCACACAGTGGGCCAAAGAGGGAGCCAGGCGGGCTCAAGCCCTGCGGGAGGATGTGAGGCTGGACGCTGGGCCCTGGGAGGGGCTGGCTGGGGCCCTGCCCCAGTCAGACACGCACATACGTGTGCACCCCCAAACTGCATGCAAACAGCTGTGCTCCCCGCCGTCCGAGGAACCTGCAGGCTGGTGAGGGCGATGGAGGGCCTCGGCGTGGGGCAGAGGTTGGCCTCACTCCCCTGGCCTGGCCACGGCCCGCTGAACTTGCCTGGAAGGATGCTGGAACCTGAGGGGACAGAGGAGGCAGGGAACATTCCTCTCCGGGTCTGAATTTTGGAAAAAGCCGCTGAAGGGCTCTTGAGCTGCAGCCCCAGGATGGGGCAGAGGAGTCCAGACCTGGGTTTGGAGTTAGCCTGAGGGTGGGGGCCAGGGGATGACAGCCCCTGCCGCCTGGCTGGGCAGCCGCAGCCCCTGCTCCCTGTTGGATTCTGTCTAGTGCTGTCCTCAGCCTCACAGGGCACTGCTGGGCCATTTTTGGATGAGCGGGCTGAGCCGTGGCATTGGGTCCCTCACCTGACCTGGGGGTCACACGTCAGCCGAGCAGCAGGGCTGGGGCTCGAGTTCACCCCAGCTGAGACTGCTGCCTCCCAAATTGGAGTTCTCTGTGTGGGGTGTGGGCGGCCTCTGTATTTTGAGGATCCTTCCCGGCTGAGTAGGGAGGGAAGCACCGCAGACTCAGGTGGGGCAGCCCCAGGCCGGCAGCCCCCTTGCCTCAGCTGTGCGGCGGTGGGGCTGTCAGGGCCCCTGAGGCCAAGAGGAGGGGCGGCCTCAACCTGCAGGCTGGGTGGGAGTTGTGATATCTCCGTGGGAGCCTCTGAGCCATGGCCAAGACTCACGATTGGGGTGAGCCAGGTCGCCGGCATTCATCGTGCCTCTGTTGTGTGGAGTGTAGATTGACCCAGTGAATTTGGGAGCACAGGACAGGGGTGACTGCCCTGTGACCTGGCACCCCACACCCTCGCCACCCCAGTGTCGGTGATCTGAGGTGCAGGGGAGGAGGCTGATTCAGCCTGGAGTCCTGCCGAGTGGACCCGGCCACCCCGAGGCCCCTCTGTGGGTGGAGGAGGCCCCAGAGGCCACCAAGGCTGGGGGTCTATCCTGGAGTCCCCAAGGCCTTGGAACACCAAAGCCCTCACGTGAACAGGGTGGGTGGGTCACCCCCAGGTTCTCTGGGGCTCAGACCTGAGTTTCCCTGTGAATCCGGGCAAGGGTACCCTCTCCCGGTCAAGAGGAGCCTGTTCGCTTTGCTTGTTCTTGTTGGTTTTGTTACTTTGTATTTACAGTTGAGTTCTTATTTGTTGATTTGCCGGCCAGTTAGGATTGTACGTGGCTCAGCGTGGAGTTGTCAGCTCCTGCCTCACCTCACCTCACCCACCCCGAGCCTGCGCCAGGGCGGCAACTTCAGCTCCTCTGCTGGCCTCGGCCTCCTCCTGGTGTAGTCTACCACAGTTTAAATGGCCTTACGGCTCAGCAAGCTTGTATCTCCTTTCTCATTCAGCTCTTTATCCTCAAGTCTTGTTTTTTCTTTTGCACGTTTTTCTTTTTTTTTTCTTTTTTTAATTATTTATTTATTTATGGCTGTGTTGGGTCTCCGTTTCTGTGCGAGGGCTTTCTCCAGTTGTGGCGAGCGGTGGCCGCTCTTCATCGCGGTGCGCGGGCCTCTCACTATTGCGGCCTCTCTTGTTGCGGAGCACAGGTTCCAGATGCACAGGCTCAGTAGTCGTGACTCATGGGCCCAGTTGCTCCGCGGCATGTGGGATCTTCCCAGACCAGGGCACGAACCTGTGTCCCCTGCATTGGCAGGCAGATTCTCAACCACTGCACCACCGGGGAAGCCCTGCACGTTTTTCTATGTATCACTAACTCAGCTCCAAACTTGCTGATGGAATTTAAAGCCCCTCACTTCCGTCCAGCTCCTCGAGTGACTCTTGTTCAGGTGGAGCCGCCCTCCTGGTGCCCTGTCGGAGCTGCCCTGGGCCCTTGATGGCACCAGCAGGGTCTCCCTGGGATACCCTTGGCCTCGTCAGCTGGAGCCTCTGTTTCTGGAATGCCGTGTTTTTCTGCCTTGTGGTTTACTTTCTTGTTTTCACAGAGTACATCCTAGAATGGCTTTCTGAGAAAAAGTGCGTCAGAGATAGATTGTAGAATAAGAATTATGTTTTTAAACAATTAGTAATTGACATGTTTGAGTGATTCCTTCCACCACAGGCATTGTGCTAGGTTCTTCACAGGACCTACCTCACAACAAATCTATAATGAACCTTGTTTGACAAGGGAGGACCCTTAAGTACAGAGATGAACTTGCCCACAGTCACATGGCTGCGAAGCCATGATTCAGCGCTATTTGACTCCAAAACTTAATTTTTTAAAAAATAAATTTATTTACTTTTGGCTGCATTGGGTCTTCGTTGCTATGTGCGGGCTTTCTCTAGTTGTGGCAAGCGGGGGCTACTCTTCATTGTGGTGTGTGGGCTTCTCATTGTGGTGGCTTCTCTTGTTGTGGAGCACAGGCTCTAGGCACGCGGGCCTCAGTAATTGTAGCATGCGGGCTCAGTAGTCGTGGCTCGTGGGCTCAGTAGTTGTGGCTCACGGGCTCTAGAGCGCAGGCTCAGTAGTTGTGGCGCATGGGCCTAGCTGCTCCACGGCATGTGGGATCTTCCCAGACCAGGGCTCAAACCTGTGTCCCCTGTCGTGGCACTACATTTTGTTTTCCTCGTGGGTGTCATGTGCTGCCCCTCCTCACTGCCCCTCCTCTGACTCGGTGGCCTGTGAGTTGGGGGACGTGAGTGTCTGTTCACGTGGAGACACTGTCACTGCTTTTCCTTCCCTGTGAGTTTTTTTTTTTTTTTTTTTTTTTTTTTTTTTTAGGTTTATTCTCCCAACT